CGCTGCGACGGCGGTCTGCGTGTCACGCGCTGGAGGAAAAAAACGCGGATCGCGGCCGGGACGCTGCCAGTGGGAGCCGCTTGCGGTGGGAAGAATGCGGCGAACCTGTCTGGGTTAGAGAGGCGACATCGATGTCGAGGTTTTCGACATCACGATGTTCCTATTTATATCGATGTTTTAAACATCGGTTTTGAAGCCGATGTTTTTTAAACATCGATGTTTTTTTCGTGGATGAAAAATGGTCACAATCACAACTTTGTAAAAATTAAAATAAGTAGTAACTGACGGTACCACAGTATGAGTTCAAATCAAACGCGAACGCGCTTTGTATTACCTTCGAGCAGATTACCATTCATTACCAGAGATGATTTTCAGGCCCTTGTATTTTTTCCACCCACATACGTAAATTCTCTTTTATCGTTTTATTATTATCCTTGAACGTCAAGCGCTAATTCTTTGTGCGTGTTCAATAATGTCTCAGACGGCCAAGAACATTTTGTGCATGGTTAAAATCTGACAATTATGAAACAGAAGTCAATATTATTCAGAGGCAAGACACGGTTGCATTGAATGTCAACTCATAAACTTTAACTTCATAGCCTTTCAAGATTACAACAAAAAGTACGTTCACATTTAGTGATGGACAGCCCACAAGAAAACCGACGTAACAAATTACTGACGCAACGGAACAAATTTCTGGACGATTACATTCCCACGTCAGTATTAAACCAGGGTTGTCCAACTGACGACCCACGGTGCCATTAATGGTGGCCCACGACAAAGTATTACTCAAATGCATAAGCCCCTTGAATCCATCTCGGGAGAGAACACTGTGTGCCTAGTGCAGCGCCCTGTTGAGGTCAACACCCCCCTAATGTAAAACTAGGTTAAGTTTACATTTAAGATTTTTTTTTCTAGTAAATTCAGAAATTCAAAATCATCCCAATGTGTTTCAATGCGTTATGCCCGGCATGGCTGATTTCAGGAATGGTTCCCTCTCCCTTCTAAGGGCAGCCGTGTGGATCGCCCGAATAAGGAAGAAATTGCCCGCAACCATATTGAAGGTTTTAGTTTCGACCTTTGAGGCCTTGCAAGTTGGACACCCTGTACTAGACGTTGTTTATGATCCACGATTGTTTATTATCCTATACTTTCTGAACGCTGATAGTACGCGCACACATATCTTTTTCTGTGTGTCTCGCTCGTGCTTCAACGGACACAGAGTGCACAAATAATCTTGTTGCGAACTGTACATAATGCTCCATTCATCGATTTTGAACTTGAAATAATGGAGTTGGCGAACGTATCACCGTGCCAAGACTTCCCTATTCTAATTTGCACTATTGGTATTGAAGGCACGTTCGTAAGTGACATAAACGTAAATGAGGTATTGTGCTTTACGCGTCCCAACATTTTTAACCACGTTTCTGTCTTTCACATGCAACCCACTGAAAATCTTGCAACACTTTTGAAATGTAATGCTAGTCATTTTCACATTGTAGAAAAAATTGCAAAAATCTCGAGCATTGCGCTCAGAAAAAAAAGTAAGTTCTTTTAGTTGGTTAGATCTGACGAATATTGACGTCCGTAGTGGTGTGGTGAATACAAATAAAAAATAAAGTAATGAAGAAGTAAGTTATAAATCAAAATATGTATCTCTCCAGCTAGTGAGAAAGTGTAATGAAGAAGTTGCACGTGTTATTGTCTTGAAAATGTAGGTGGTCTACATAGAAATAACGAAGAAAGAAAATACTATAACATTATACATCTCATTGAGAAGTAGAATCTAAGAATTACGAAATCAGCAAAAGGAACAAGAACCTGCCCTGAAATGGATGCTGTGTCTAAATGCGCGGAGAAGAATTCAAAGACACTAAGAAGAGAAACAAAGAGCGCGGCATCTGGTATTCTTCCGGTGCAGACAATGAACTTATTCATCTCGAGCGAACGTCGTCATCTGAACGCTACCGTTTAATGAAACACATTTCCGGCCACAAACGCAATGCAGCACATAGGACTCGCGTTGTCTTTTAACCGACATGGCGCGCGAGTAACAGCGGACGTTGGGGGAGGAGGAGGGGGCATTTTTTTACCCAAGTCGGGCGAGAAACAACACCCACCCTCCTCACTACAAAGGGGCACTTCCTCTCGCTACTCTTGGAGCATTACATTTCTCGGTTCGAGGGCTCGGATTCTGGCGAACTAAAAATTCTTTGAAAATGACCCATAAAATGACTTAAAAATAAGAGAAAAACGACCTTTGAAATTACTTAAAAAATAAGGGAAAAAATTACTTATTTTTTTAAAACATACTCGAATATGTTATGAAAATATTTGTTATATGGAATTTTAAAGGAAATGCAATCCTTAGCTCCCATCTTTAAACGATTAATTTTAAAAGGTTGAGGAAGTTACTGAAGAACCGTGTAATTTTGAGAGTTCAAAAAACAGAGTCCACTGCAGTTGTGATTTGTCCATAAACTGACGACACAATAAAAACCTTGTTTTAATGTGTCATTGTAAATTCATTCACTAACAAAAACACGAAAAGGAAACAAAATGCGTAAAAATGACAAAAATGACTCAAAGATCAAAAAAATCATCTAAAAATGAAAAAATGGAAAATAATAAAAAAATGACCTGTCAATATACATATACATTTCTATCCATCTTCATACACATTTCTATACACCTACATTTCTATCTACACATACATATACCTATACATTTCCATCAACTATACGTCGTGATAAACATTCAGTTCCAAGTTAGCTCCGTGTAGAACGCAGCAATGAAAAGACGACGCGCCATCAGAACACGAGCCCGGCTCATTACCACCCCGTGATTGTCGCTTCGGCCGTCGGAGGAGCTGACGAAAGTAGGCCAACGCGCGCGTCTTTCTCTTCGCCTCACGCCACACGACGAATGCAGGTAACGAGTCGCGCGGTAACGAGTCGCTGCGACAAGCGGCCGAACGACGGCGCGGACAAAGGTGGCGAGTACGAGTACGCACCCGGAAAGCGGTAAGTGGGTCGACGGCGCGCTTCAACTTGCGTCGGGAAAAGACGTCATTTTTTTCTCTCTTTCTCACACCCGCGCATCGCAAGAAGCCCACCACCAATATCACAATTTACTTGATGTTCGTATTTTTGTTCGCTTGTTCGTATTTTTATCACCGCCAGCTTCATGTTTCTGTGTCGTTTCTGAACGCCTCCTATATCACATGCACACCTCATTGTATAAAAGAAAATGTAAATAGGGCATGGAACCGCTATTTACTGCAAATTATATCTTCTGTGAATAAATTATTAATACTATTAATACTATAATTCTAAACTTCAACTTATTAACGAAACGAAACTGTGCTTCCAAAAATCCACTACCCAATTTCTAGCCATTCCCTTAAGAGTCCCGCGGTAACGAGTCGCTGCGACAACCGGCCGGACAAAGGTGGCGAGTTCGCACCCGGAAAGCGACAAGTGGGTCGACGGCGCGCTTCAACTTGCGCCCGGAAAAGCCTCCTTTTTTTCTCTCTCTCTTTCTCTCTCACCCGCGCACCGCAAGAAGACCACTGCCATTATCACAATTTACTTGATGTTGACACGACGCTTGGTTCTTTGTCTTATTTCCCCATCCGAATGACTAAACCGGAGCTGATGAATTGTAGTGAAGTGACGAAATAGAGGAGGTAAAATATAAGCGTTTCCAATAGACCTGGTTCAGTACTGCGATAATACAGCAATCATGCACAATATTGCGAAGTAGAGTACTGCAATAATAAACAGAATCTACGATCGATTTGAAACAACCTTGATTTTTCCTTGTCCTTCTCCTTGTTCCAACGACGATTTTTTTTTATGTCAAAGGAACAAACTTATCACTACAGTGTTTTTAATAAAGACGGTGAATGGTTTCGGATTTTTTCGATGTCATTTCGGAGCAACGTACGTTCTTTTACATTTCTCTGTCGTCCATTCTATTCATGATTTTTATCAGTAAAAGTTTCATAGATAAAAGTTAATTAGAGAAAACAAGTTATGTAGAGAAAAACTCATTGTATTCTTCTGCAGAATAAAGGACTCCACTAAGGATAAAATCGTTTTTCTGTAAAATTGCAATTTTTTAGATTTAGATTTTTATTATGCACCGCCAGTAAGAGTAGTGCACGGAATGGTGAAGCAACATCGATAACAAAATATCGATGTTACCAAATATCGATATTCATAATTGAAGCGTCGTTGCTAATAATTCATCGACCTATAACCATCGGTTGTTTAAAGCTAATTTAGAAACTTCTAATATTAAATTCGTGCGTTACAAAATTTAATTAGACAACGGTCGTGCTTATTTACTTTATAATTACGTTTTATCTGAAAACAAAGTTAAAAAAACAGTAACAAGGACAAAATTGAGCGTGAAAGCATTTGCGACATGGCTCATCTCAAAAGGACATTTCACAGTTCGCCGACCATCTGTTATTTCATTATCTTTCACAAAATTGTGATAAGAGATTTTTTATTCATAAATAAAATTTTGAGAAGAAAACATCGACATTAGAAAGACCTCAGTTCTGCGATGTCTATGTTTAACACATTTGTCAATAAAACCATCGATGAATTAAGACAGATTTTTTAAGCCAATATTTTTCAACATCGACGATTTGTGTCCAATGATATCCATAAATTGAATATTCAGCAGACGAAAGTGACCAAGGGTGAATAATAAATAAATAAAAACTTTTCGTCCATATGGAAGTCTAAATTAAGTTTGAAGATTCCAATTAGATAAACCAAGTTTTGTAAATCCTCCTGTTGATTTTTTGGCTGTTTTGACAGTAAAATCGTAATTAAAAAAACTAATAAACGAGACTACTTTCATATTAAGTCTACACTGCGCAAACTTTAAAGTATAGTAATCCAGTTTTCAAAACATCGATGTTTTAATATTGAGCATTGAAGTTTAATAACATCGATGTCCTATTGGCAATGTCGCATCCCTACTCGCTCGGTTCGGTGAACAGAGGAGCCATCCACGCGGGGCGGGGCGTCGCGTGCCCGTGAGTCAGCCCCGGCGGCGAAGGCGACGCTGACGGCAGCCGCGGGGGCCGTTGGCAGCGCTGCAGTCGCGGGGGCGGGGCCGGGGCCGGGCTTGGGCAATGCGCTCGAGCGTCCCGTCCGGAGACGTAAGTCGGGGCCTCGCGGTCGCCAGTCCAGGCCACTCGGCCTCTCGCTGCCCGCCCACGCCGCGATTCCAACGCCAGCGGGGCGGCGGACGCCTCTGGCGCCAGCCATCGCCCACGCGCATTCCCGACACCGCCTGGGATAATCGCCAATCGCGCGGCAACGCATGTGCTTTGGGTTTACGTTTTTTTTTAAATTTGAACCGCACAGCAAAATCTCATTCCACTGCTCAGACACTAAAGTGTTGATTGACAGCTGACAACTCTCTGTTATCGCCGATTAACTCCCCATCCGAACGTGGTGTCGCCACGCGTTTGGTGTCGGTGACAGTTGATGCTGTTACAAGACGATTACGCCGCTCACAAAGGGCGCCAATCACGCGCGATTAGTTGACCGGCGCATAGCCGCAGTCGCTCTCCCACCGATGCAACGGTGCTGTCGGGGAACGGGTAGAGGATGCTTCCCACCGCCTCACACACCAGGCGAATACCTGAGCAGTTCCCTACCAAATGGGCAACGGACCGCGCGCGAGCTTTCCTTCCTATTCCTTGTCCTATCCTCACCCATTCTTACACACGCACACATTAACATGCACCACAGTACTACACATGCCGGGAGACCGGTCGGGAGCTTAGAGCTCGTTCCGGCTGAGGCGGTGCCCCGCTGGTGAGATATACCTGGTTGGGGAAAACCCCGTTAGACCACTGTAGGTCGGCGGCGGATATCGTCATCCAGAGGGTGAAGACCACCGCCACATCCCGAGGAAGAACATGTACTACACTTACGGAACTAATAACCATAGTAGTCGGTGTGACCAGAATCAGTATCAATCAATCCCACCACCTAACGAGATGTGCTCTGCCCTTAGCACTTTTTTTTATTTAACATCTATAATTACTAATCCTATTACTATTGCAAAGTAACTACAAGTATATTCTCTAAATTTACTAATATATCTTTATCTTCTAAACAGGGTGTCTGAGAATAAATATCACAGTCTTGTACGACTTGTAAAGGGAATGAAGATAATCAGAGTTAGAATTTCGACCGAAGACAGTAAGTGAAACTTGAATAACTTTCTTTTCAATAGTAGGAGGAACGCAAGTCGAGCAGTGGGTTCAGTCGGTCGATGCCATTACCTTCCCTCCGCCGTCGCGGAATGCGCCTCCGCCTCTACGTCAGCGCCGCGTCCTCCGCAGCCACCTCCGCCGCCGCCAGCCTTGGCCAAAGCGCGGGGTTATTTATACGCCGGCCAGAGGCCCCCGGCCCACCGCGCCGGGCGAATCCGGCGGCGGGCGTGCAAGCGCGGGCGATCGCCGCGGCCCCACGCGGACCTGACGCAACGCCCCGCGCGCAGATCCAGCACTGACTCCGCCGCTGGACCTCGGCAAAGGTCAAGTGCCTGCCTGGCCCGCGCCGCCGTCGCTGCCGCCGCCACGTGGCCCGTCGCTGCCAGACGCCAGGCGGCTTGGGTGGCGGTGGGCGGGCGGCGCGCAGCGGCCTCCGCGTCACATGGGCCCGACTGCGCGGCGGAGCCCCTGCACCGCGCCCACAGCGGGAAAGCGACGGACGAGGAAGAGAGTATTGAGAGCAGCCGCAAACGAAGACAACGACGAGGGCGTAATAAATAAACTCATTTAACCAGTTTGTGTAATGTGTTAGCAAATCACAAGGCGTTTAAACAAATCAATTACATTCGTTTAAACGTCTTGAGAATACACCCAGACTTACAAAGTGTCTTCAACAGAATCTCTTTAATTATTCACTTTGCAACCGGATTTGAAGCAGCAGATACGGATGAATATGTTGGCTAAGTACTGTATAAGATACGAGGTTGTGAGAATTTGTCGTATTACAGATAGCGCGTTCAGAAGTTGACAAGGACACATTCTGTTTCTATTAAGAAATCAATAAACCGATTTGTCTTTTTTTCTTTAAATTGTTTTATTGTCTTTACTTAATTAATTAATTATAAAAAATTCTGATTTTGTCGGGTTAAAATACGAATTGACGCCATAATTCATCTAAAAAAAACAACACGTTTTCACGGAGAAATTCGAATACATATCTTTTCAAACCACAGACGTACGTGGCTCAGGGCTGTATGTCACTGTAGTGCCCTTGACCGCGAAGTGGGGTGGGGTGGGGTAGGATAGGGTAGGGTGGGGTGGGTAATGGGTAGGGGTGGGGTAGGTGGGAGGATAAGGTAGGTGGGGGGTGGGCGGGGGGTGGGGTGGGGTGGGGTGGGGGTGGGCATGAGATGGGTGGGGGGGGGGTATTGGTGAGTGGATAGTGTGGAGTGGAGTGAGGTGGGGTGGCGTGGGCGGGGTGGGTAGTTGTGGGGTGGCGTAGTGTGGGGAAGCGTGGGGTGAGGTGGAATAGTACTGGTACTGGCTGTGGCCGTGGCTTAAGGTGGGTGGCTACCGGGGTGGGTGTGTTGTGGGGTGAGAGGCGTGGCGCGCACAGCGCACGGAGCGGGCCAGAAGTGCGGCTGGCGGGGCGGGCGCCAGATGCCAGCGGCGAGCGCTGGAGAGACGGCGGCGGCGAGACGGCGCGGCACGTTCATCCATTTGCCGTCGATCAAGACCTCCCGCAGGATTGCCCTCGTCTGGCCCGCCAGCCCGGCGCGCGCGGCGGACGGCGTTTATTTACGAGAGAGGGGCTGGCACAGCCCGACGGCGGCCGCGGTGCGCGCGGCGCAGGGGCGGGGCGGCACGCTCCGCGGGGTGGCCGGGCCGGCCGCACGCCGGCCGGGGCGCGGGCGGCCGGGGGCGCGCGCGCGCCGGCGACCCGCGCCACCACGACCAAGCTATTGCCACGCCACTTGCAATTCCACCGACACACTTATTGCCTCGGTTTCAAACCTCCGCCACCGCTCCTACTAAAATCACCAACTGTCACTGTTGGCCACGTCCACAATCACTTCCGTCAATGCCACAGTTGCTCCGACAATCGAAGACAGTCGATTCACCACCGAACGTCACCCGTCACTTCAGCTACAACGTGCAGCCGCACTGTCAATCTGCTCTTCAACGCAGATACGCTACGATCGGTTACGTCATTGCCACATTCCGCTTTCACAGTCGAGGCATCGCTATCGATGCCCCTGTCACTTTGCGTTGTCATATTCACCAGGATTTGCAGCGTCACTTCGAACGCACTTCTAGGCGTCACCTCCATTGTCAAGAGTTCCACTTGTACATATCCAACGCGCGCCTCCACGCCGTCTCCGCCACCGCACGCCACCGCCACCGCCACCGCCCACCAGCCTCCGCCTCGCCTCCGCCCCGGCACACGCCCACCGCACCGCCACCGCCACCGCCACGCCTCCGCCTCCGCCTCGCCTCGCCTCCGCCCCGCCACCGCCCCGGCCACGCCACCTGCACCGCCACTGCCACCGCCCTCCCCGGCCACCGCACCGCCACCCGCACCGCCACCGCCACCGCACCGCCTCGCCCGCCACGCCTCCGCCCCGCCTCCGCTCCGCCTCCGCCTCCGTCCGCCTCCGCCTCCGCCCCGGCTACCGCCCCGGCCACTGCCCGGCACACCGCCGCACCGCCACCTGCACGCCACCGCTCCGCCCCGGCACGCCGGCCGCCACGCCACCGCCACCGCCACCGCCACCGCCACCGCGGCTCCGCCTCGCGCCTCCGCCTCCGCCTCCGCCTCCGCCTCGCGCTCGCACTGCCCGGCCATGCCGCCGGCCACCGCCCGGCACCGCCCCGGCCACCGCCCCGGCCACGCCACCGCCACGCCTCCGCTCCGCCTCCGCCTCGCCACCGCCTCCGCCTCCGTCCTGCCTCCGCCTCCGCCTCCGCCACGCCAAGCGGCCACGCCCCGCGCCACGCCACCGCCACCGCACCGCACCGCCACCGATCCGCCTCCGCCACCGCCTCGCCTCCGCCTCGCCTCCGCCTCCCGCACTGACCGGCACGCCCCGGCCACCGCCCACCGGCCACCGCCACCGCCACCGCCTCGCTCCACGCTCGCCACGCCTCCGCACCGCCTCCGCCACCGCTCCGCCTCCGCCTCCGCCTCCGCTCCGCCTGCTGCCCCGGCCCACTGCCCGGCACCGCGCCCGGCCACCGCCCCGGCCACCGCCACCGCCACCGCCACCGCCACCGCCTCCGCCTCCGCCTCCGCCTCCGCCCCGGCCACGCACCGCCACCCGCCACCGCACGCCGCCACCGCCCACCACCGCCGTTGCCTGCCTGACAGCGAGCATCACTGGCGGAGGCGCGTGTCGCCGCCGCTTTCAAACGACGCTCTTATTCGGCGCGTCATTTTGGACAGCGATCGGTGTAACTCGCCCAATTATGTTTGTGTCAGATGCTGCGGAACGCGAACTACTGCCCGAAAGTGGCGTGGTGACTTCAGCGCTGCGAAATGCGAAGGACACGCGAACAACGCCTCTTTTTCGTTTCGTACAAAGACGCCTTAAATATACATTTAAAGGCACAAAAAGGTTAATGTAATGCAGTTTTCACGTCTCCGTGAATTAGATTACTAAAGCTCCCAATGACATTTAGCATTATTTCAATCCTTTAGTTTAATCTTTTAGTTTAATCTTACAAATCATGCTGCTAATATACGAAACAGTATTTTCTTTTCGTTTAAATAACACGAGCACATCACATTGCCCACATTAAGTTAGAGAGGACGGTCAAATTCCATTCTTGATCTAAAATCAACATAAATGTCAGCAGCAATGAACCCACGAAATATTCAAAAAAGCATTACCAAGCAGAGCCTTTGTAGCAAATATGCAAATAGCAACGCCAGAGCGCGAAGAATTTGCCTTCCTTCAGAGGTATCTTTTGGAGGCCCGCGTGTTTTGGTCAACGCAATCTGTATGAGGATATGTCCAGTTGAAAGAATTGAGTGCATCTAATGAAATGGGGCGGCGAGTGAGAAAGAACTCTTTAAAAAGCCGAAATTTCCAAATTAAATTTTAAATTTAGTGCAACGCAAATGGCGTTATAAACAAAGTTGCAGTATCTGAAATATGTAATGGTATATTTAGTTAATCACATTGATTGCAAGAGCTTGGTGGGTTCTTGTAAAGAAATGTTCCTTGCAATTGGCAACGTTACTGTTGATGATTTTTTCTT